AGGCGGGAAGGAGCCGAGGCTGCTGAGGCGGCTCTGAGGGAGGCAGTCGGCAACGAGTTGAGGGCACCCGGGGCGGCTCTGAGGGGCTAAGGGCAGCCTGGAGCGAGTTTGTGGAGTTGTCGATGCGGGAGCTTCGAGATAGAGCTGCGAGCAGCGCTGAGAGGGAGCCCGGCGCCGGCCGAGCTTCGCCATCACCCCCAGCTATGGAGCTAGGTGAGGTGGTGCCCTCTCGGTGAGGTAAAACTGAGGGGTTTGGACCTGTGGAGGAAAGGCTGAAAAAGTGGCGGGGGTGTCTACTGGGACGAGAACAGGAAGAATTTGCCTGCTGTTAGGGTGGAGTGCGTGGCTTGAAGATGGTGGTGGCGCATTTACATGGTGAATTTTTCTCTTCCCCTATCCAGGAAAAATAAGAAGAGGCTGCCTCGATGCACCCAAACTGTATTCCTGCATAAACGCATGTGTGAACCATCGCAGTCTTTCACAGCCTCTTCCAGGCAGAGCCCCAGGTCCGTTTTTCAGACCGTCTGGTTTCGTGTGGTCACCTCCCAGCACCCAGGTGCTGTGATGGGGAACGTGGCCGGGGTGGGTGAGGAGCACACAAAAGCCCCAAGTCAAATAATATTCCTAAAGAGACCAGTATTGTTCTTTACATTTTACAAAGAGCAAGACTGAGGCCCTGAAAGATAAAGTGCTTGTCCATGATCAGAGAGCAGTGGCAGGGTCACAAATGCAGCCAGGGCACAAAGCTGCAGTGATGCTAGTATGACCAAGAGGGATGATTATTTTGAACGCCAAAAAAAAAAAAAAAAAAGCAGTAATACTTTCTCAAGCTTGCATATATCATAACCTCTCTTGAACGCAAACACATGGTATATGTTGTCTAATATTTGTCTTAAGAAAGATTGGGAAAGAACCAAGGCTGTGTTTCACTTTATGTTCCTGTTTGTTCTACTACTTATTTTTTCACATGTTTTATAAAATGTGTATCTTCAATGACTAATACTTGTAAGTTAACAATTGGTGCCAGGAAATGGAAGTGCCATCTGTAAGAAACTGATTTTCAGAAGCGAAGTCCTCAGACATATGAGGAGGAGGTGGTATAACTTGGTGAGAGACAACCAAAGTAGACTTGTTTTTGTTAGTCAAGATGATTTTAGACATATTATGTAAGCAAGATGTGTGAGGAGGGTGGGGAAGGAGGTGAAGATCAAAATGACAGAACTCTTGTACAGTATGAACAAAGATGAAGTGATCGGTGGTGACAGAGAGAGGATGAAAAAGGCAACATGTGAGAGAAAAGTTATTGAATGCACTTTGAAATGCTGTTGCTGCCGACTGCTGTGACATAGTGAAGAATGCAGACGTGTGTGATGATTGCAGTAAAGTGAAGGTTAATTAAATATAAGTCATGGAGAGCACTGCTCTAATTTGTGAGGCTTCACAGAAATGGAAGACCTTTGAGCTAAGTTCATGCAAGGCTGATAGTCCTGAGTAGCTTTGTGCTTGTTTCTAAAGTGACAATTTTAAAAATTCTCACGATTTCTCCCCCTCTCTGTTCCAAGAGCATTTTCTCACAAGTAAAAGTCAGTTTAGGCTTGAGTCAGTAAAGCCAAAAAAGAACTGTTCACACTTCATAAAACAATTGAGTTTGGCCTAATGAGACTTGAAACAGATTCCTATACTCATCTGGCCATTGATTTTATACATAGAAAGAAGCTTCTACAGAGTGAAGGTGCAGGAAGAGCCAAAATCTTTCAGGTCAACAGCATAATCCTTAATTGTTTAGAAAGACAAAAAAAAAAAACCTCACTAAAATGTTTTAAAATACAATATTAGAAAATAGGACTATGTGTTGAAAAAGGAAGGTGGAACGCAGCACAGCTACAAAGCAGTGAGACAAATTTCCTCCTGAAGTTTTCCTTCTCTAAGTCTGAGAAGCAAAATGTGGTAGAACAGAGGAAAATAAATAGTACAAATATATACTTTTTCATAGAGTATTCTCTTTACTTCAGAGATTCTTCCTTGGATAACATTAGTAAGCGCTAGAAAAGCGTTTGTCTTAGAGACAGAGAAGTCTCTTTGAAGCTTAGTTACGTGGGTGTTCTTGCCTGTGTTGGGAAGCGTGAGCCTCTCGGGAAGACACCCTCCTTGTAAAAACATCAGGAGACAGTGCAGAATTTCATGAAAGTACCTTTTGATAGAAGTTGTTCAATATTTTGGCAAATAAATTTTCGGGTCATTTGGCAGTGTCAGCTTCTGGCTCAGATTTCTCATGACTTGGAAGTTTGTCCCATCTGACAAATGACTGGAAACAACCTAAGAAGCTGACCTGGAAGTAAAATACCAGTATTCTGTGTAAGTTGTTGTCAGGCATATATATATGGAAGTGGAACATATGCAAAAAGCAGGTATGCAGAACTAGTTGTAACAAATTGTTGACCATTTAATGTAATACCATACCTGCTTAGCCATATGTGTTAGTTGGCACTACACAGATATACTTTATAATATACCTTCTGCCATCCTGGCAAAACAACTGCTTCATTTTATTCCTGCAAAGGGACTTCCTCCCTCCTAACAGGGAACTGCTTCCCTCCCTGATGTTGCTGGGCTTTATCAGCCAAAATTGTATTTAAGACTGCTAGTAAGCAGTCTTAAAGCAGAAAAGTATGTAGCAAGTTATAGTCTGGTTTGCTACCATGCCTACAAACAAGTCTGCAGCAGACTGCATCAAGATGGGATTATATTTCTGAGAAAATAAGATTAAGAAAGTAGCACAAGTAGGAAACAGTATTAAA